AGAGATAACATACTATCCTACACACAACAAATGGTGTCCAGTTGCGGTCCTAGATTCCTACCTTCAAAAATCCTTCCAGGAATTAAATACCGTAATGCATTTAAGGAAATGTCTGGTTAATTTGTATATACAGGGAGTGCAGAATTATTAGGCAAAATGGGAGTGGCCTTTACCTGGCCACCTTACCAAGCCGCAGAAGTTTCCAAGTCACGCTTTTCTGTTGGGAAGAGTTGTGATGTGCATCTCTGTAATGAGAAGGGGTGTGGTCTAATGACATCAACACCCTATATCAGGTGTGCATAATTATTAGGCAACTTCCTTTCCTTTGGCAAAATGGGTCAAAAGAAGGACTTGACAGGCTCAGAAAAGTCAAAAATAGTGAGATATCTTGCAGAGGGATGCAGCACTCTTAAAATTGCAAAGCTTCTGAAGCGTGATCATCGAACAATCAAGCGTTTCATTCAAAATAGTCAACAGGGTCGCAAGAAGCTGTGGAAAAACCAAGGCGCAAAATAACTGCCCATGAACTGAGAAAAGTCAAGCGTGCAGCTGCCACGATGCCACTTGCCACCAGTTTGGCCATATTTCAGAGCTGCAACATCACTGGAGTGCCCAAAAGCACAAGGTGTGCAATACTCAGAGACATGGCCAAGGTAAGAAAGGCTGAAAGACGACCACCACTGAACAAGACACACAAGCTGAAACGTCAAGACTGGGCCAAGAAATATCTCAAGACTGATTTTTCTAAGGTTTTATGGACTGATGAAATGAGAGTGAGTCTTGATGGGCCAGATGGATGGGCCCGTGGCTGGATTGGTAAAGGGCAGAGAGCTCCAGTCCGACTCAGACGCCAGCAAGGTGGAGGTGGAGTACTGGTTTGGCTGGTATCATCAAAGATGAGCTTGTGGGGCCTTTTCGGGTTGAGGATGGAGTCAAGCTCAACTCCCAGTCCTACTGCCAGTTCCTGGAAGACACCTTCTTCAAGCAGTGGTACAGGAAGAAGTCTGCATCCTTCAAGAAAAACATGATTTTCATGCAGGACAAGGCTCCATCACACGCGTCCAAGTACTCCACAGCGTGGCTGGCAAGAAAGGGTATAAAAGAAGGAAATCTAATGACATGGCCTCCTTGTTCACCTGATCTGAACCCCATTGAGAACCTGTGGTCCATCATCAAATGTGAGATTTACAAGGAGGGAAAACAGTACACCTCTCTGAACAGTGTCTGGGAGGCTGTGGTTGCTGCTGCACGCAATGTTGATGGTGAACAGATCAAAACACTGACAGAATCCATGGATGGCAGGCTTTTGAGTGTCCTTGCAAAGAAAGGTGGCTATATTGGTCACTGATTTGTTTTTGTTTTGTTTTTTGAATGTCAGAAATGTATATTTGTGAATGTTGAGATGTTATATTGGTTTCACTGGTAATAATAAATAATTGAAATGGGTATATATTTGTTTTTTGTTAAGTTGCCTAATAATTATGCACAGTAATAGTCACCTGCACACACAGATATCCCCCTAACATAGCTAAAACTAAAAACAAACTAAAAACTACTTCCAAAAATATTCAGCTTTGATATTAATTAGTTTTTTGGGTTCATTGAGAATATGGTTGTTGTTCAATAATAAAATTAATCCTCAAAAATACAACTTGCCTAATAATTCTGCACTCCCTGTATTGTTGACTGTATTAAATCTTTGATTATTCTTTTTGCCCTCTTTATTTACAGGCCTACCGTATCGTCGGTCTCGGCACACCACAACCGACTTGCTCCCTTTATACTATCCTACGCTTATGCTGGAACCTTACTCCATATACGGCTATTTGCCCCGAACACAAGTTTTAAGGCCATTTGGCCTGTATTTGTGGGAGGGGCTTAAATTAATTCACTCCCCTATATAAGGGACACCCCTTACCTGACTCATATCGCTTGAGGTCAGCATCAGAATGACCCTCCCACCCACTCCTCATTTCAACACTTTCTCTTTTCTTTCCATTTACTTTACTTACTTACTCCTTGGTGGGCCCTCTTTATTTACAGGCCTACCGTATCGTCGGTCTCGGCACACCACAACCGACTTGCTCCCTTTATACTATCCTACGCTTATGCTGGAACCTTACTCCATATACGGCTATTTGCCCCGAACACAAATATATATATATATATATATATATATATATATATATATATATATATATATATATATATATATATATATATATATATATATATGTATACTTTTAATTAGATTTATTGTGTGTAAGGATTTTTTTTTTTTTATACTTTCCCAGCGTTAGGGGGAGTGTCTGACAGTCCATACAGTCCCCCTGCAGGTAGTACTGTAGGCACCTATTGGGACCATGTGATCAGTCTTTGAGAGCGATCACATGGCACCTGGGGGCCTGATTTGCCATGGAAGGACTGCCTGGGATGTCAGGCAGTCGTCCCGAAGTGGAGCGCCGGGAATGTAAGTATCCAGGCGGCACCGGGGCTCAAAACCGTTACAGCATTCTATGCCGCCGCAACGACTTTAAAACTCAGTTATTGCAGGACAGCAAAAGGCCTTAAAGGGTTAATATCTGTGGTTGTAAAATTACTTGATGGGCTATTAAGGGATATTATTCTTCAGGAATTGATTTGAAACAACTTCACTAGAAGGAAAAAACATTGTTTGAAAAGACATGACATATAAAACTATATATTGTGTTTACTGAGTAGATATACACTGATCAGCCACAACATTAAAACCACTGAACAGTGAAGTGAATAACATTTATTATATTGTTACAATGGTTCCTGTCAAAGCGTGAGATATATTAGGCAGCAAGTAAACAGTCAATTCTTGAATTTCATGTGTTGGAAGCAGGAGAAATGGGCACGTGAAAGGATATGAGTCACTAGAGGGAAATAGTAATGGCTAGACTACTGGGTCAGAGCATCTCTAAAATTACAAGTTTTGTGGGATGTCCTCAGTGTGCAATGGTTAGTACCTACAGAAAGTGGTGCAAGTAAGGGCAACCATTGAACCGTCGTCCAAGGCTCATTCATGCACATGTGGAGTGATGGATAGCCTGTTTGATCCATTAACACAGAGGAGCTACAGCTCAAATTGCTGAAAAATCTAACGCTGGTCATGACAGAAAGGTGTCAGAATACACAGAGCATTATAGTTTGTATATACGTAACAGATTTTGGGGGTCAAAGTTAGAAAAAGCATGTTTTTAAAAAAATTTGTCATCATATTTTCTAATTCTTTTTATAGTAAATTATATGATAGGATGAAAATAATGGTATCTTTAGAAAGACCATTTAATGGCGTGAAAAACTGTAAATATTATGTGTAGGTATAGTAAATGAGTAAGAGGAAAATTACAGCTAAACACAAACACCGCAGAAATGTAAAAACAGCCCTGGTACTTAATAGTAAGAAAATTGAAAAATGGGCTGGTCACTAAGGGGTTAAAGGCCCACACCAGAACCATAAAATACTTTAGCATGCTGAAGTGCTTTATGAGTGAGGAGTATCCTATAATAACAGTTTATAAAAGTGCTGATTTGAAACACTCCCTGGCTGGGCGGCGCATCTTCTTGCTTTCGCTAGGTCCCCTGAGCTAACAGAAGTGGCAGGCGCACTGTACTTGAGCACGACTGGCTTATCCCCTGTATACCCCAAACTAGTGTCCAGACTTCAGATAAGAATCATAAGAACTGCAGATTTTGCAAACTATTTTAAGATATACCCACAATGAACACATACATAAAAATGCATGCATGTATTCATTGTGGGTGTATCCATTAAACAGTGACTTCAATTTTTTTTTTAGTATGGTCAGTAGAGTTTCCCTTTGATTTATGCAAAGATATTCTAGTTAAAAGATTACTCCAGCCTCCATGACCACTTTTGCTTTTAAAAGTAGTCATACAGCAAGCAATCCGTATGTGCAGAATTTATGCTTGAAACATTGCTTAGACAGAGAATATGTGTATTTGTGCAGGGGTGTAGTTTCAAATCAGACACATTTGACTTAGGCAACCCAGTACTCTGTCTTCACTGGAGAGCTATTTAGATGTGAGTGCTCCTGCCTGCAACATAAAAATCTTTGGACTGTGTGTGTATGACTAGCGTGCACACTGTCTTACAATGTGTCACAATGGGAATTTTTACCTCCCTCCTCCTGAATGTCTTACTATAACCCTCACTAATTCTGCATTCATTCATTCAAAGGTTTAGGAGAGAAGTTCGCCCGATGCTGGATTTAATGAAAATGTTTGGGTTTTCTTCGACAAAATATTTAATAAATATGGAGAGGACTACTAAGAAGTATGGAATTAAAGATAAGGGTAAATATTTCAAGATTTATAAATGATTGGAGAAGCTCTAAGCAGTGATAATTGTTATTTTAAAATGTATTACACAGAGCAATACTTCACAATCCTAGCTAGTAAGATGATATTCCTAAACATTTTTTTTTATTTTGGCTAAATTATATTTTTTATAAAATAATATAATTTCTCTATATATCACATATGTAAACCAATTCTGATTGTATTGTTCAACTATTTATGTTTTGCTATGTACCAAGACAACCCAACTACATTGATCACTGTACCGCAAAAATATGAATACACAATGCATGTAGAGCAATAAGTAACACTCCTTGCTTTGAGAGGGTGGTGTACAATGTTTAACAGTTTGTTAAACATGGAAGCATCCTGACTACTTAAATATAAATAACTGTAACAAAAAGTAATTGCACACAATGATGCCATCTTGTGGTCTAAAGTATGGTATTACCACATCTATAACAACAGGGTGATGTTATTGTACATCCTCCATGTGTTCTTCACCCAGTGTGGGACTCATAGCACAGTAATATGTCCCAGAGTCAGAGATTCTCAGTTTAGTTATATTTAATGGAAACTGACGTTTTGCGTTGTCATATTTATATAAAAATCGATCCTTTATATCATTATCAAGGTCTTCTGGTTTTGTGAAACTAAGGAAAAGAAACTGGATGGTTTGCCCAGGTTTTTGGAAGTACCAAGCCATATATTGAGGTGTAGCATCAGTACTGCATGATAATGCAACATGCAATCCTTCAGTGATGGTCTTTTCAGATGGGGTTTGGGTAACTGTCTCCCCAGATGTGTGATCTGAAAGTTAAATGCAAAAACAAATAAGTTAATTAATTATCAGATAAATACTCTAACAAGCTACATTAAATCTTGTTTAGGCATACTATCCTCTAAATATATCCTCTAAAAAAAAAGCTTAAACTAATAAGATAATGTATTTTTTTAATCTCTAGTATAAGTATAACTTACCTATAAATGTAGATGATAAGAAGACACAGAAAAGTGCAATAACGAACATGTTTCCTCTTAGAGATGCTGTGCAAACTGCAGAGAAAATGCCTGAAGTCAGAATGTTAATATGTGAGAGGAGGTGGAGCTTTAAGTAGCAGAGCCAATAAAATTTAGGGAAATGAGATTATACATATGTAGTGGTCTAGGGTAAGTCACAAACAAATAAGATAAGCACAAACCTTAAAAGAAAATAGATGAATATTGCCATAAGAAATTATAATTCACCTTGAATTTTTTAAATCGAGCATAGTATTATGATTAGAATTAAGGTAAAATCAGAAGTATATAGATAAGTAGAAAATATATTTTCAGGATGGCATAATATTCCTAAATAAAGTGTAACTTTTTTTTTTCATGGGTTTGAAATGTGGGCAGTGAGATTTATACATTATAATACATGATCAAGGTTGGGATCAGGGTAGAAGGATTGTATTGTTACGGTTTACAAATTATCTGCCATGGAGATATTGCCTTAGTATATATGGAGCATCTACCTAAATTTGATAGCATTTTTCATTACATTTAACTGGTCGAATTTCATCAAATACCTGTCAGTTTGTTCACCTTTTGTACACAAGCACTTAGGTATTATGTTTATTATTATATTCAATAAAATGTATTTATTTTCTTTTTTATTCTTAGTTTTTCTCTTCTCGTAGTTCCTAGTCTGGTAGCAATCCTGTAGCTAGCTGGTACTCTTATCAGAGTATACTTAATTTATCCCAGTCCCTACCGGTACACTTTTCCTTTTTTATTAGCCAGTTTCTGGCTACCAGTAATTTAGTGATGGTCAGGAGGTGGATAACCAAAAATGTTATATAAGTTGATATGAAGTAAAAACAGCTTGGGGTTGAATTCAAAGGATTTCTTGAGTAATTTTTTTATTTTTATATAAATCATATTCCAGAATAACTCTCAGTTTAGTGATTTTCAGAGGGAACTGCTTGTTTGCACTGTAAAATTTGAAGAGGAATCGATCCTTCTTATCTTCCTGTTTTGTATAACCCTGGAAGAGATACTGGATGGATTGCCCAGGTTTCTGCATGTACCAAAACATATAACTAGCTACTACATCAGTACTGCAGGATAATGCAACCTCCTTCCCTTCATTGATGGTCTCTTAAGAGGGTGTTTGGGTAACTGTCTCTCCAGAACCTAATTCTGTCCACCCACACCTCCCACGCCTCACTTTTCTGTCAATCCCTACATTAGCTTCCTGTAAGATATAGGGCTCAATTTAAACTTCTGGTTCTTGCTTTTAAATCTCTACATAATGCTGCTCCCACCTATCTATCCTCACTAATACACAAGTATGTCCCATCTAGACCCTTATGCTCTGCTGAAGACTTACGTCTTACCCACTTCTTCAGGGGGCGTGGTCGGGACACTGAAGGGAGCAGACGCATGCCGGATGAGCTCCCGCTATACACACGGCAAATATACGCAAAACAGAGATTTCTTACCCTCACACAACTGAGGACCGGGTCCAACAACACCCGAGATGGGCAAAAAGGCAAAAAAAACTCAGAACTCTCGTAGGGGAGGGCTCCAGAAACATTTGCGACAACCGCGGTCTAGGCCCAAAATGACGTCACCAGCAGACTCAACCTGCCCCTCCTCCGAAGATAAAATCCTCAAAGCCCCTGATGACATCCCGAGATCGGAGAGCTCAAAACTATGCTCACTGAAGGAAGACCTTCAAGCCCCAGCTACAATGGGCGATATCCAAGCCCTGATGAACAACATCAGAGCCTTCTTTAACGCAGGCGTAGACATCACCAGGGAAGATATTTCTATGGTCACGGCCAAAGTGCGAGGAGCCGAGGAGTCCGTCACCTCTGTGGCCCAACGCCAAGTACGCTAAGCAGAGCAGATCCTGCAACTCCAGACTGCACAACATGCCACCCAACTACAAACAGAGGCGATGGAAGACACAAGAAGACAACCTCAAAATTAGAGGCATTGCGGAGACAGTCAACGACCAAGAACTACCGCACTTCCTACGCCGCCTATTCGCAGCCCTATTGCAACAACGAGTAGCTAAAAACATACAATTGGATGGTTGCTACAGACTAGCCACATCAGCTAGAGCCCCGGCTGGGGAACTTTGGGATGTGATGGTACGCTTCCTCATGCTCCAAGACAAGATGGCGGTCCAACGTGAGACTAAAAACAAAGCACCTTACCACTTTGAAGAGATGCAGCTACATTTCCTGCAGGACTTATGCCGCTCCACCCTGACCTGGAGAAGATCCCTCCAACGTGTCACGCAAGCACTGAGATCAGCAGGAATTGCCTACAAATGGGGGCCCTCACGAACTCTGATAGCCACGAAGGACAGCCATAACCACACTATCTCCTTGGCGGACAAAGCGGCAGCTTTCCTGCAAAAGCTGGGTATAGCCCGGCCTTAGACAACCAACTTGGGACACACAGACACGTGGCGAGAAAGTTGCAGACCGAGAACCGCATACTAGTACCCTATGGTTGCGCATATGTTCTAGCACATGTTATAGTTTAGTTTTACTCTGAACCCGTCAGTTAATCGATCACTCCCGACACTGCCAGACCGGTCTCTATAACACCTTAGCCGGCAGCCCCCCCACACCCTCACGCTCAGGGGTTATTGAGTGAAACTTTACAATATAGATTGCATTCACTAACACCTATACGACCAAGAGCAACCAATTTCCACCCCACCCCATCACCACCAACCGAAGATAGATTGGCTCGCAACACTTGCAGCGGCCTTAAAAATTCTCTCTACTTATACATTAATGCCCCATGTAGCGTACACCAAGACAGTCCAAATGACATCAACCTGTGCACTACTCAGTTACCTCTCCTACAATTCCAGCACACACTCTAACCTACATCACGAGCTACGGCACTTAGCCATCGTCATACTTAAAGATATATTTTACCAACATGTATAAACCTTAAATACTCTTAAAGTCACATATTATCAGCATATATAATCCATAAATGCTTTTAAAGTCACCTATTCTCAGCATATATATTCCTTAAATGTTCTTCAAGTCGTATTTTATCAACATATATACACCTTAAATACTCTTAAAGTCATATATTATCAGCATAGGTACTCCTTAACTGTTCTTAAAGTTGTACATTATCAGCATATATAATCCTTAAATGTTTCTAAATCATGTATTATCAGCATATGTATTCCTTAAATGTTTTCAAAGTCGTACATTATCAGCATATATACTCCTTACGTGTTTCTAAGGTTATGTATTATCAGCAAATGTACTCCTTAAATGTTCTTAAAGTCGTGCATTATCAGCATATATAATGCTTAAATGTTCTCAAAACCAAGTTGTATGCACTCATAATGTAACAATTATTTGCCTAATTCACTGTTATTATGTTATTATTTATATAGCGCCGACAAATTCCGTATCGCTTTACAGTGTGTGGACGAAAAGACATGTAGTTGTAACCAGACAAGTTTGACACACAGGTACAGAGGGGTTGAGGGCCCTGCTCAATGAGCTTACATGCTAGAGGGAGTGTGGCATAGTGATACAAAAGGTAAGGGTAGGGTTAGGGTAGAAAAGTAAGTTGCTAGGATAGTATTCACTGAGGGCTTAGTGTTTTGTTTTGATTAAAGTTTCAGGAGAGGAATCAGGGTGCGTGGAGGGAAAGCTGTTCACTTTTTAATTTATATGCTTTCCTAAAGAAGTAAGTTTTCAAAGATTTTTTGAAGGTGTGGAGATTGGGTGAAAGTCTACCAGAGAGGGGAAGGGCGTTCCATTGGAACGGTGCAGCCCTAGAGAAGTCTTTAAGGCGAGCATCAGAGGTAGGAGTACAAAGGTTAGACGTAGTTCTCTGGCAGAGTGTAGAGGAAGCCAATGTAGGGACTAAAAAGAGGGGGGAGTCGAGGGAGGTGTGAGTGGACAGGAAGACGAGCCTCGCCGCTGCATTCATTATAGACTGCAATGGGGCAAATTGGGAACACATAAGACCGCTGAGAAGCGGATTACAGTAGTCAAGGCGAGAGAGGACAGTGGCATGGACAAGTACCTTTGCCGCATGAGATGTAAAATAGGGAACGGATGCGCTTAATGTTTTTGAGATGGAAGCGGCAGGATTTGATGATTGATTGGACATGAGTGGTGAAGGAAAGGTCAAAATCAAAGAAAACACCTAGGCTTCAAGCCTGAGAGGTAGAGCGGATAGTAGCGCCATTGATATGGAGGGAAACAGACAAGGGAGTTGTTGTAGCACAACACGTGGGACAAGATTCATGTGGAACTGTCATCTATCATTACTAAACCTCTGGTTTTGTGGTACATGGGTAAGAGTAAATGACAGGAGCTTGTGGTTTTAATCAGGTATTTTAAGTCACCACCCTTAATTCCAAATATAAGCCATATGCCTGGTACACAAAAGTTTTAAGGGTCTCTTCATTATATATATATTTTTTTTTTACAAGGACAGGCTATTGTGTCTTTCACTCTCTTTGTATTAGCTTATTCTAAGACCCATGTTGTCTTTAGCATTTTTTGCTTACTTTTTAATATATTTTGTTTAGGTACCAATTATGATCGGTCCCTTGAATTAAAGCGACTCTGCCACCCCTTCTAAAATGAGTATTTGCAAAATGTGCAAGGACCCCAGACAATAACAGAGCAAATTTAATACAAGAGTCCCATGGACTGAGAATACCTTGATTATCTCTGTTTTTCTTTTTTTGATGCTTGGGAAATAGTATAGTCATGGAGCCCCACAAAAAGAATGTGTTTTTACAGTACATACTAAATATGGTTCTACATTTTATGTTTTTTCTATATTTGCAATCAAGTTAAGTGACAGAATTCCCTCTGACTGCAACCTTATATGTCTCACCTCTTCTCACATACATTAGATCATATATTGTGCAGTCTGTGACCTTGCCTGTAGCAATGTGTCAGATGAAGCACAGAGATACACTGCATTCTGGTGAGGTCTAGCATTCTGCAAAAGAAGAATGCTGGATTTTCTGTCCTCAGTAAACACCATTTTATACAGCTCATTTACCACTGTCTTTTGGTATCCACTAATTAAGAACTGTGGTCCTTCGTCAGGTTCCATTTTGTACCAACTGATACTTTCAGCAGTGGAAAGCGAGGGATGTTCACAAGTGAGGTTAAAATCTTCTCCAGCTGTAACGTCCAAACTAGGTGACTGGATTAGTTTTGAACTACAATTTAAACCTGAAAAATGACATACATTAATTAATTATAGATTTATTGTTGCACACATGATATATTTTAATAATTGTGGTTCCTGGCAATAAAGCCCATATGTTGTATACCACTCACAAAGAGGGTGTTACTTACATAGACCAAGGAAAACCATAAGCTTTAAGACAAACATTTCTCATCAAGTAATGGTGGTATGTGAACCTTGTAGAACTTGAGAATAAAGTGCATCTGTCATGCTACTTCTGAAACATATTTTATTTGCACTTGCCTAACCACACCCACTGTGAAATATATCTGCCATGATTAAGATGACTGCATATTCACTAAACCAAAAAAAGCAACTATAAACCGAAACTATACTATACAAAAAAAAGTTATAGCTGCACTAGTCACATCTTTTACCACAGCACCACCTAGTGAGAAATATTTGATTAACAAATGTACTTTCTGTTTTTCATTCTCACATTAAATGTTGTATGTACAAAACTGCAGTTTACATTTTTTATATTCTCATATTGTACTTTTTACTGTCTGTATCCCACATTCTTTTTCAAAAATGCAATAAACTACAGTTGCATACATAGACATTTATTGATGTACAGGAGAATGATACTTTAATGTTTTATGATTTACTGTTGAGAGTGGTTAAATTATTTATGCAGATATGATCACATAGTTTGCAGTGTGGTTTATTGCAGGGCATGGACCTTCTCTCTGTGTTAAAGGACCACTATAGTGCCAGGAAAACATACTCGTTTTCCTGGCACTATAGTGCCCTGAGGGTGCCCCCACCCTCAGGGTCCCACTTCCGTGGCACTGAAGGGTGAGGAAGGGGTTAATCCTTTACCTTTTTTCCAGCACTGGGCTCCCTCGGCACTGGGAATCTCCTCCCTCTTCTGACATCTCTGGCTGAATGCGCATACGCGGCAACAACCGCGCGCACATTCATTGTATTCTCAATGCTTTCCTATGGACGCTGGCGTCTTCTCACTGTGAAAATCACAGTGAAAATCACAGAAGCGCGGAAGTGCTGGATTAACCCATAGGTAAACATAGCAGTTTCTCTGAAACTGCTATGTTTACAGCAAAAAAGGTTAAACCTAGCTAGACCTGGCAACCTCACCACTTCATTAAGCTGAAATGGTCTGGGTGCCCATAGTGGTCTTTTAAGTTTCTCTGTAGAAAGCTTCCTATTGACCAAGGATCATCAATAAGAAAATACACGATGCTCCCCAAATAGCACATACACATCTACTAAAATGCAAAGAGGAATACATCTCCATACATGCACCACTTAGTGGTAACATAAAAGCCAAACCTTGACGCCGTACGTAAAATTATCAGGGATCTAAAACCAATTCTCACTGATGATGCAGTACTAAAAGACATCTTCCATGAATGCCCTATCAGGGCATTTAGACAACCACCTAATTTGCAATGAAAACTAGTCAGTAGGAATTAATGAGTAACCTGTCAGTATGGAGTTCCATGGCATATACGTACCAGAGTCTGGGATTCTTAGTTTAGAGACAGTTATTTGGAAACTATTTGTTTGTTCTATCACAGTTATGAGTGAGATGGCATTTCAAGCAATTACAAAGATCTAATTTTAACCCCTTAAGGACCAAACTTCTGGAATAAAAGGGAATCATGACAT